TGTGGTTAGTTTTAAAGCTGAGACCGCCCATCCTTGGAATCGGGTTCAGCTTGCTCACCCACTCGAGTCAGTTCAGATCACTGCACTGAGAGAGGTGAGTAGGTTTCAGATACCGCCAGTGCGCGAGCATACAATGACTGTAACTTTTCCAGGCCACGAATCTCAAATATCTGGACTTGGGGTGCATACCGATTCTTGCACTTGACATCTTGAATCACTGTATTTTTCAGCTGCGACACCTAGCTTGGGAGACAGTAGATTGCCACCCTATCCTGCATACATTCCTCGAAAGACAATCTATGATCCACTCGCTCGCTTTGACGTCGCTCTTATCCTTTCCTGGGCTGCAACCCGTCCATGTCCCGAACCTTCGTTCATTCTGCGGGCGAGCGTCACTTGCGGCTCAGATGATACCCGGCCGGCCAGTTGAGAGCGTAATAATCAGAGGAGATCCTATATACCCGGAGCTCCTGGACGCGATACAAAAGATGGGATTGTCAAGCACACCTGTGCGCGAATTGGAGCTATATTCGACCGGACTAAACTTGGGTACCAGTCGTGAATGGTCCACGCCCCGGGGTTTCCTGCTCGAGTTGACTACCGCCCTTCCTCGCCTGAATCGTTTGGAGATCATGTTGAGGAACGAGGGCGAGAAGGATTTGGTTGATACCCTGACAGAGACCGTGAGTCTTCCGGCTTCATTTGACAGGTGGCTGATTTCGCCCACAGATTCACAATTTCATCGGTCACCTCAAAGACTTGCAATGTTTTGTCATAAGAACAGACCTCAAGTCATTTCCCGTATACACAACCTATCTAAATGAGAAGGAGGAGATCCAGCTATGCCAGAGATGGCGTAAATCGTGCCCGAACCTAAACGAGGTAGAGTACCTCTCAGGCCGACGATGGGAATTATTTGGGAATCAATGGGTCAAATCATGGACAAAACCGTACTCGGGAACAAGCACTCTCGAGAGACCATGGCCTAGGGATCTGAAGCCTGCACGAGCAGCTTCGGCGCCTCTTTGATCACTGTGTATGCTTCGTTCTTAGTGTAATTATGGCTTGTTTGTGTGTTTTGATTTGTCAGCGGCGCTTGGGGAACCATGTGTAATAATTTCTTGATTTCACCCTCCACTTGGCCTCGGTTGGTCTTGGTTAAAATGGACGATTTATTCTCTCACATCACTGGCGACAATGATCCTGCTATGGATAAAGGTCTTGGTACTTCTACCAAGCCCAAAAAGAAGAAACGAAAGGGGGCTGGAACTGAAACTGCGCCTGTTACGGGGGTTGATGCCAGTGGCG